GAGGTCTGTATTTTTCCACTAACTAGAGATTCTGTCCGTGTCCCTGACAGGCATCACCCACTTCAACCCCCACCCCACATCTACTACTACCTCCTGCCGCCTCCTTCGGCTACAAATCACAAGTCTCAGATGAGCTTTCTACTTCCATGCTCTGGTGACTCTTCTCTTACTTCCCCAGGTCACGTGACAACTCTCCTAATGAGGTAAGTGCTGCCACTTTCACTGTCTGCTTCCTCTCAATTGTCTCTGGAGAGATGGGGACACTCAGAGCCACAACTGTGTGTCCTTAGTTCCTCCTGCATCAGATGAGGAGCTGCAACTCTCTTACCCTTAGCCTGCTCACCTGCATTCTGCCCACTACAAAAGAGGTTACAGGTGTGGGTGAGCTAACACCTGTGTAGTTCCCAGCACAGACCCAATGGAGGAAGGGACACCCCTCTCCCTTGTCTCTGCTCATCTGAACCTGCTCTGGCCTTCAAAGGAAAGATTCCATTCCAACCAGTCAGAAGTGCAGGCTCTGGGATCTCACTCTGACCCCTCTTCTGCCCAGCACCCTAGTCCCTTGTAGTCTGGCAGATGGATTTAGACAAGAGACATCCTGTCATGTAGAAGACTGGCAGGTTTCTTAGAGAATGATGGGAGGCATGCTCAACAGTGAAGGTGGACATTGTCCAAAGGGCCACTGCAGATGAAAGGCTCTCAAGGAGCGAGAGTGGACAAAGGCCAGGGACCACGGCTGCATGTTAAAGTGGGGAGGGTGCTGTCTTCTAAAGTCTCTGGCACAGGAGGCCTCCATGAGATGTTTTTCTGTGCAGGACAAACAGACCATGTGGGTTGACTATAAAGGAGGGGACTATTGTGTGTCTATGTTCCTTTCCAGAAGCCTCCAGTCGCATAGTAACTTATATTCTTCTTAGCAATTGAGATGGTCACTTAGAGAATTTAAAGGCTGGCAATGTAGTCCTATTGCTAGAGTGCTTGCTGGCTGCCCCTGGCCTTGGTTTGATCCACAGAATCACAGTGGAGCACACCTGCAGTCACAGCACTTGGTCCCTGGAGAACATGGGGACTCCCTGGGCTTCATGAGAGCCGGTTCTCATGAACACACACACACACACACACACACACACACACACACACACACACACACACACAAACCAGGTTTAGGGCAGATAAGATGGTTTAGAGTGTGAAGTGCAGTTTACAAATCAGACACCTGAGTTCAGTCCCCAACTGAAAGGTGAAAGAAGGGAAAGAGGAAACCCCTCCTGCAAGTTGTCCTCTGAGATGCACCCATGTTCTGTCTGTCTGTCTGTCTGTCTCTCTCTCTCTGTCTCTGTGTCTTGAGACTGACTGTATGATCATACTTTTCAGGTGGATGGCCTTCGCATTATTTCCTAAAAAACAATGTCCAGCAACACAAATACCTAAATTCAGTCTTCCCAACTCCACCAGCAACAGCAACTGTTTTCTATAATAAAAACACAGCGATGGGACCTGTCCCATTACCTGCTGCTCATGTATTCCCAGTCTCCTGCCCCTCACTTTGGGGGGATAGAGGACGAGAGTCCCCAAAGGACACAACTCTGTAAACCCAGCCTTCAGAGTCATCAGAGAGAAAGGCAGATAGTGGATTGGGTAGCCTGTGGCTAGCAGAAAAGGGATTGCTAGTGAGGGATTGCACCCTTTAGACTACAGAGCAAGAGCACTTTATGAAGTCCACTGTAGCTGGCTAAGTAGTGATCAGAAACCTGGCTGTGCGCAGAGAAAAATGGGCTGTGGTAGGGGATGACCTCCACTGGGGAAAGTCCTCTGACAGTTAGGTGACTATGTGTGCAGGTCCTGGTATGAGATCTCTGCCCTCAGAAGCATGACAATGTGGATTGGCTGCTGTACAGTTCTAGGAGTCCAGTGGTAGCCACACTGTACCTATTTCCTGACATGGGATTTTTGCTATACACATGGCAGGCCATGAAATCCAAGGTCCTGCAAACAGGAACTGTTGTCTTGGTTGGTCACAGCTGCAGTTCCATGGTGGAGAGATACAATCTCCCATGCATGTGTGTTTGGGATTCCATTTCACCTCTCAGCTGTGACTTGTTCTCTACTCCCACAAAGCTAAGTGGCCAAGCCTTCAGCAAGCACATAAAGCACTCCTCGACATTTGCCCACTCTGTTCTCAGGTCTTCCTCACACACACTACTGTCTCCTTAGCTCCCCCAAACTAGCTCCTTCTCCTACTGGGGAATATCCAGTGTCCTATCACATACTCCAGATTCCTCTCTAGCTCACACTTCCTGCTCTTGTCACCACTTAGCTCTGTGGGGCCCTCTGTTCTAAATGCATCTGTCTCCCTGTATACCTCTGCCCCATTACTGTGACAGGAGAGTAGTGACTGAAAAGGGTGCATCAGGAAAGAAACTAGTTGACCATGAAGACTCTAAGCCTGTCCCTACCTGACTTCATACAGTGGAGCATACTCAAGTGATGCCAGGGATAGGATCTGGAGAGGTGGCTCAGTGGATCTAAGCACTTGGCTGCTCTTCCAGAGGACTCAGATCCCCATTAACCACACAGCTAAAAACCTTTT